GGGGCCGCCTGGCCACGAGGCGCCCAGGCCCCGCCCTTGCGACAGGCCCCGCCCCACCGCTCGCGGGGGCGCTTGCTCCGTGCACCCGGCCTGGGGAGACCCGGGAGGGCTCCACTGGCCACGGGGTTCCCTGTGCCCTCCTCAGGGAGCGCACTGCGCGTCTAAGGCGGCCTTGGTCAAGAGTTGCGAAGGCCTGCTAGCCTGTCCCGTCCTTCGAGGAGACCGAGCTTTGGTCCAGGCACCACCGCCTGGGAGTCCTGCAAGGAGCAAGTGGTGTCTGGAGGAGTCTAGGATCCCTGTTCTGACTGCAGGTCTGGACATCTCTGTGGCCAGTTCTGTTGCTTGACTTTTGCAGAGGAAAAGCCTAGTGGAGAGGTTGACCCAGGGCGGAAATGCTGAAGACTCCGGGGTCCCACTCTACCTCTGAGCCAGACTGAGCTGTGCGGTGGGAGGCCGGAGCGGGGAGCGAAGGGAGCTAGCGCTGGGCTGCCTGGGTCTGTCAGGGTGTAGAGACACCGCTTCTGCCCTTCTTTCTTTCCTCTCTCCTTTTCTTTCCATCTTCTTCAGCAATCAGTTGCTGGCTGTCCTCCCTTTGCTGGGCTCTATGTCAGATTCAGGGTTCACAGAAGGGAATAAAACCAGGCCCCTGCTCCCATATCCTGCCAGTGCAGAGTGGAGACCTCCCGGGAAATACCTGTGGCTTAAACCCTAAAAGGGAGACCTTGCAGAAGCTGGGTACTGAAGGAGCAAAACGCTCCGCGAGAGGAAGGTGGCAGAGTATTCCAGGCAAGGAACAGCATGAGCAGGGGACTGGCGTGTAGCAGGAGTCAGCACTGCATGGCTGGGGCTCAGCCACCCTGGACCACACAATTATAGAAAAATAGGGTTGAAAGGACTGCGCTATGCATCCAGTTCCTCCTTACTTCAGAGGGGGAAACGGAGGCCCAGGGAGAAGGAGTTTCCTTCCAAATCCCACAGAGATCTGGGGTGGAACGGTCCTTCTGTCCTGAGGTGCAGGCTGGCACTTCCTCCCTGTAGCCGTCCATAGCCGCATTTGGGGGCGGGGCATTAGCTGTGAGTGGGCACACCACACCAGCTCCCTGTCTTTGGCACGACGACGGTGTGGATCTGGATTGTCCCCTAGAGCCCTTCAGGCTTGATGGGATATATCACAACAATCAGGAATCCTACCATTTTAAATAATTGTTCTCAAAGGAATTGAACATTACAGATGCAGTTGAATTCCCAGCGTTTCCCTCCTATGCCTTGAGCTATTCTGGTTCAGATTTAATTCACTCAAGAAAGATTTAGTGCCTGCCAACTCAGCACCTCGGCATAAGTTCAGGAAGGGGTCAGAGGAGTCCTAGAGCAGTGGTGGCGAACCTACAGCCTGCGTGCTGCAGCAAACACACGGAGAGCCCTCTCAGTCAGCAAGCTGCCCCTGCAGCCCGAGCGCGGGATAACAGTTGTTTGTTCTAAACTAAAACCTCAGTATTCGGGTTTAATTGCAGTGTTGGGTGGCACTTTGTGACAAAAAGTGGGTTTTGGGTTACAGTTTTCGGCACTCAGGCTCTAAAATGTTTGCCATGGTTGTCCTAGAGCAACCTCGATTGTACCTCCCAGTTATGTGACTTTGCCTAAATCATTTAATCTCTCTGAGTCCCAATGTTCCCATGTTTAAATTGGGGCTAAGAATACCTATCTCCCTGGGCTACACTGAAGATAACGGATGGAGATGCATTGGACAAATTGTAATATGTGCAACCCCTGGCTGCTCTGAAATGGAGAGACCGGCTCTGCTGGGTCAGGCAGCAGAAGCAGGAGCCAGATGACCTACACAGCGATGCACTAACCCAGGGACACTGTCGTTCATGCTGCCATTTTTACCCTAATCTCGCATGGATGAGTGGATTTCATGCTGGCTGTGAGACGGATGGGTCGTTTAGTTTTCAATTAGCAAACGCCTCGCTTTTTAAACAAGCAGCACGCAAACAGATGCACTGAGTGATGGATGACAGGGAACATCTGCGGCCAAGCAGCAGCTGCACTGGAGGCCCTTTGCATCCAGGACTGTCGGGGCCTCTGGAGGTCATTTGGTGCCTCCCCTGGCTCCGGGCAGAATTGTAACCAGTCCAAATAGGCCAGGTAGGACAGGGTGTCCTTTTTCCCAATTGCTTCCTTGGAAAATGGGCCACCACAACGTTTTGAAATGCTCATCTCTCTGTCCCAAATCTAGAAGTTAGAAACCTCTACCTGATGTACCCTAAATTATTTATTTTTATCCTTCTTATTGTTGAAAATAGTAAACAAATGGGTAGTAATAGATACTGTAAGTTGTCTTAATCTATTCAGGTATTGCTAACAAAATACCATAATCAAGTGGCTTATAGACAACAGTAATTTATATCTCACAGTTCTGGAGGCTGAGAAACCCAGGATCAAGATTTAATGTCTGACACAGGCTGCCTGCTGGTTTGTCACCTACTGGTGCCTTCTAGTTGTGTCCTCATATGGTAGAAGGGGCAAGTACTATATGCTTCCTTGGGCTTCTTTCATAGGGGCTTTAATCCCATTATAAGGGCACGAATCCCCACGACTGCACTTCCTTATACTATCCCCTGCAATGTTAGGATTTCAGCATATGAGGGGGTGGTACACAAATATTCAGACCCCAGCATGGGTGGAAGAGGGGTTGGGGCAGGTGGGAGTTCTGTTGGGCCGCTGTGAGGAGATATAAAGGCTGGAGACAAGAGGAGACCTAGGTTTACCTCCTATGCTCCCAGAACTGCCCTCCAAGGTGGAGAACATTGCCAGCTGGGCTTGCTACAGAGGGTCCTCCCTGGTCTCTGTCAAACTCTGAGACACCGCCAAGAGGCACAGACAGGCACAGCCCCTCTTGTGAAAACTGTTCCAAGAAAAATAAGGGAAAGACCCTCATCCGAGAGGAGGCTCAGCAGCAACACTGGAGACTCACAAGACTTGGTTCACGTCCGAACTCCACGACCTCAGAAATCTCTGAATGTTTCTCAGGCTATTTCCCCAGTGGTGAGGGTTGGACAGAGACCTACATCACAGAACCGTTGGAGAAATGAATGACAACTGGCATGTATTGGTGTTTAGTGCATTTTCCCTTCTTCAGAAAACTTCAGTTGAAGAAATGTAGTCACCCTGTATGTGGCATTGGAATTCTCAATTATTAACTAACTGTGTAGATAAAAATAGATCATTTTCCAATTTTAGGGATTGTTCTTTTTCATTTTCCCATATCTTTTGTTATTTTGTTCTTATCCCATTTGCAAATAACTCTGGAGACACTAGGAGGAGGAGTAGGGCAAAAAGAAAAGAATTCTGTGTTTTTGTTCTTGATCTTGTTGTCTTGAATATAGAAAATCTTACAGAAGGGCAAAGTTCTTAGTTACTCCCTTTGCTGAGAAAACCACAGTCCCAGGCCAGAAAATCTAGCACAGGGACTGAAAGTGGGTTAGGCTGGTCATCCAAAGGCAGGGGCAGGGGCAGGGGAGAGGGTCCTTTTAGAAAGACAGGTGCTGGACACTTTCTCTGACAAGACCAGAGAGCAGAATCACCTGAGGGTTTTGACAGCTGTGTGTGTAATTTGTGCTTAGAGAATGGTTTCCTCACTGGCAGACTAATGAGTCTTTTCACCTCAGTGTGAAATGGACATTTGTAGATGTTCTTTGCACCCTCTTATTTTGAAACAGTAAAGAACACAGGTGTGACTCACTTTCAGAAATTCTATTGTACAATTCTTCAGAGTTACAAAGCACATAAAGTGTAATTATCAAAAATAGAAATGTATTTCATGGCTTCATGGGATGAACTCATAAAAATACATGCCTCATTGTTCATAGTGGCATTATTTACAGTAGCTAAAAGGTGGAAGCAACCCAAGTATCTATCAACATGGATAAACAAAATGTTACATATATACAATGTAATATTATTCAGCTTGAATGAGGAAGGAAATTCTCACATATGCTACAACATATATGAACCCTAAAGACATGATAAGTAGAATAAGCCAGCCACAACAGGACAGATCGTACGATTCCACTTATAGGTACCAAGGGAGGTACCAAGAGGAATCAGTCCATAGAGGTGAAGAATGGGCTGGTGACAATATTTGTGAAAACAAGATAAAATCCCTTGGAAAAATAGGTGGGAAACTGACTGTATTCTCTTGAAAACAATCCATTTACATCTAACTTCTGAAGCTGTGTTTAGGGAATTAGAATCAGTGCTGTGTTGGAGTTCTTAGGCCCCTCCCTTACATAATACACATTCTGCACCTGTGGTCTTATTGCCCTACCAACAGCCTTGCGATGTCAAGAATGCCATTCCCTGCGGAGGCATGGGAAGGTTATGGAAGGGCTCCCCTTCCAGAGGATGGGAGCAGATGGTGGAACTGGGATGAGAGTTTTCATAATGTTCTGCAAATGCAAGTGCCATTCACCCACTCGGGTTTTGAATGGAGTTGTGCAGTTCAGAGAGAACTGTCAGTTATGAAGAAAAGCTCCATCCCAGCTTACCTTATTGAGGGTGAGTCAATGGGGAGCAGAGGTATTTTTAGCCTATAAAACAATCAGAACCATTTGGAATCCTGTTGCTCACAACCTGCTCCCCTGCTTGTTGGGCTCCCCATTTCTGGGGATGACAGCACCCAGCTATTCATAGC